GCTCTCGCTTGCTGGAGGCGACCAGGGAGCTGACCGACTCGTGGGGCGAGGCCTGGGACATCCAGCGGGGCGTGGAGTTCGACGTACTGGTCACAGAGAACTTGGAGCTGCTGTTACGGAGATTGAGGACTGGCTGGTTCAGGTGGGTGCATGTTGCCCCCCCGTGCGCGACGTTTTCGAGAGCAAGGCAGCCGCCGCTGAGGTCGAGCGATCACCCATGGGGGCTGCCGGACTGCACGGAGACGGACCAGGCCAAGATCGACGAAGGGAACGCTTTGGCTTTGATAGCAGTAGAGGTGGTCAAGATCTGCCTACGCCTTGGCATTGGATTCACCCTCGAGAACCCCAGGACCAGCATGATATGGGCGTTCGCGCCAATGACCGCGCTCTTGGATCTCGAGGGGGTTTTCCGTGTGGAGGTGGATTACTGCATGTATGGCGAAGAATGGAGGAAGCCAGCTACGTTCATCAGCAACGTGAAGAAGATGGCGACGCTACAGCGGGTGTGCTTCTGCCCCTCGAGCCGATGCAGTCGGACTGGCCGAGCTCACCGAGAACCACGAGGACGATCACCAGGTGGGCTACGGTGGGCTCAGGTGGCCTGTGCTTACCCGCTGGAGTTGTGCAGGGCATACGCGTCCACTCTGCAGGAGCTCGAGCCGCACTGGGACTCGATGCCAGCGGGGGCCCGGCTTCGCCTGCAGGGGGACCGCGGGCGCGTCGTGCGAGCGACTGGCCCAGCCCTGCCTTTGCTGGGCCATTGGCTGGAGAGGAAGTGGCACGTGCTGTTTCAGGGACGATGGTCTCACGCCGAGCACAACAACGTCCTGGAGTTGCGTACGGTGGTGGCGGTGCTCCGACACCTCAGTCGCACGTCCCAGAGCTGGAATCACCGCGTGCTTTTCTTCACCGACTCGTTGGTGAGCTTAGGCGTCCTGAAGAAAGGGCGCTCGTCTGCCAGGGACCTCTTGCACCTGGCGAGGATCGGCGGCATCATCCAGATGGTCTGCAGGATCCGCGGGTACTTCAGGTGGGTGCCGAGCAAGCTCAACCTGGCAGACGGCCCCTCGAGAGGTCAAGGCATAGGCGCGGCGGAGGACACGGTGGCGGGCCACGTGGGCCGGGGGGTGCCGAGGGAGCTACTTCAGCGGCTGCAAGATCGGGCCCGACGAGGACCGCCTGGAGCTTCGCATTTGTGATGGCAATGAGTGGGCTGAGGCTGTGCGAGGCGATGCCGCGGCGTGGGGCGGACGGCCCCGCCACGACCTCGGCGAAGCCCCCCCCTCTGGCTAAGAGGGGCGCTCGGGCCTGGGAGCAGGCACCGAGCGACAGGCTGCATCACAATGTGAGGCTCGTGGTGCACGCCGTGGACGACGCCACGAATCAGATCTACGAGAAGGAGGTGGGGACCTTTCTCCTGGACGTGAAGCGGCACGGGCCCCCCTTCTCCACTTACGAGGAAAGGGATGCGGCGCTCGGCGGGTACATATCGGACATGTGCTACGTGATGCAGTTACCCTTCGGCAGGGCGTCTGCGTTGTTCAATGGCTTCATGCACATCTTCGAGGATCACCGCAATCGGCTCCCCGTCGCTGCCAGGGCGCTGAAGTCCTGGTCTAGGATGGGCTTCCAGAAGGAGGGGGCGCCGGTGCCGTTCGAAGCCGCGGGGTGCGTGCTCTACGACCTCTTTGAGCACGGCCAGCTGTGCGAGGGGGCCGCGGTGCTGCTGCAGCTTGACGGCTGGCTGAGGGAGCAGGACTGGGGCCTCCTCAGGAAGACGGACGTGGCGGTGGGGCCCGACGGGGAGGTCGGGCTCACCTTGGGCCGCAGAGAGCGGGGCGAGAAGGTGAAGACGGGAGCGAACCAGGGCGTCGTGGTCTCGTGGCAGGTGACGAAGGCCATCCTGCGGGCGATCGGCAAGGGCGCGGCGCCACGGGACCTCCTCTTCCCGCTCTCACAGGACAAGTACAGGAAGGCGTGGAGGCTGGCTTTCGACAGGGCGGGCCTGGCGGACTTCGGGCCCCCGCACTCGCTGAGGCACGCGGGTGCGGCGGCCTACATCGCCGCGGGCGGCTCGCTGGAGGCGGCGCGCCGGAAGGGCCGCTGGCAGACCACGTCGGCCCTTCAGCGCTACACGAAGGTGCACGTGCTGATCGAGCAGCGGAGCCGGCTCACCCCCGAGCAGCTTGAGCGGGGGCGGGCCTTCTGGCGCAGGCCGGCCCAGCAGATCGCGGAGGCCATCTACCGCTCCGACGCCGTGCTGGCCCCGCTGGCGCGGGACATGGTGCACGAGCTCGAGGCAGCCAAGAACGACGAGGTCGTGCTGCCGCAGCTGGAGAGCATGGCGGACGGGGGCGCGGAGCCCACCAGCCGCCCGTCTACGGCTGGCCGCAGCAGGGCCAGACGGCAATGAGCAGGCTGCCGCAGCCCCCACCCTCATTTTAGGCCCCCGCCTTTCGCGGGTGCTATATCTTTTGATATGAATGCAGGAGCCTCGAGAGTTGGGCGCGTGCACCCTGTCCTCCACTTGTCTTCCTTGAACACTTGATAGATATGGGGAAAATATAAGCAGGTTTTTTGGTGGGTGAGAGCGACACAAATTATCTCCCTTTCCCCCCCTCCCGAATGTGTGCCGCGCTCGTGTCTAGCAGTGGCTGGAAGCATGAAGGCACAAGTGCCAGTCTAGCGATGACGGGACTGGGGGTTTCGCCGCGAGGCTTGTTGGCCCGACCGTGGGCCGAGGCACGGTCAGGAACCTCTCGGCCTTTTAAGTTTCGGGCCTCACACGGGGCCCCGCCGCTGCGAACAGATACTTTCGGAGGGTGCCCCCTCCTCTCGAGCCGCTCGCTGTCCTGTGGGTGTGTCTCCTCCCGCTGCTGCGTCGGATATTCTGTGGGGCCTCTTTTCACTAGGGTTGTCGCTCTACCCCCGCCTGCCCCCAGCACTCTTAAATCAAGATTTAATGGTATAGGCGCGCTCCGAGTTAACATAGATTCAAGCCTGGCTCTCGAGTGTGGGTGCTGTGTAAATACGCGTTTTTAAACACACTTTTACACGCCCCCTTTAAACGTTCAGATAGCCGCCTCAATTGTAATTTAGGAGAAGGGCTAGCGCTTTCTCTCTCGTGCTTGACCCTCCTCTCCTGGCGCAAAGTTTCTGCTCCCAACCCTGCCCCCCCCTTGGGCTTGCATGGGCCCTGGGGGTTTCGCCGCGAGGCTTGTTGGCCCGACCGTGGGCCGAGGCACGGTCAGGAACCTCTCGGCCTTTTAAGTTTCGGGCCTCGCACGGGGCCCCGCCGCTGCGAACAGATACTTTCGGAGGGTGCCCCCTCCTCTCGAGCCGCTCGCTGCCCTGTGGGTGTGTCTCCTCCCGCTGCTGCGTCGGATATTCTGTGGGGCCTCTTTTCACTAGGGTTGTCGCTCTACCCCCGCCTGCCCCCAGCACTCTTAAATCAAGATTTAATGGTATAGGCGCGCTCCGAGTTAACATAGATTCAAGCCTGGCTCTCGAGTGTGGGTGCTGTGTAAATGTTCTGGGAGTACGGCTACGATTCGTGCCCCGAGCGAGCGTGGAGGAGGCCTGCTGGTTCGGCCTTGAACTCAGAGCCAGAGTATGCCAAGCTGAAGCTGCCGCACAAGCCGAAGCCCGAGGATCAGATGCTCGCAGTGTGGCCTGACGGCGCAGAACGGCCAGTACCCCAGCTGTCAGTTGCGGCGTGGCAGAGCACAGCGGGCGCGAGCCAGACGGTCGTGATGAAGAAGCCCGCCGCTGCCAAGAGCTGCAACGTCAAGAGGGTGTTCAAGGATGACGTCGAGGTCATTGCCGACCTCAGGTGGGACAAGCGGCAGGGCGAATCGGTGCGCCTTGCACGCTTGCGAATCGGTGGTTCGGCCAAATTGCGCATCGAGCTGTCCCACTTCAAGAACGACGAGAAGGCGGCCTTCAGCTTCGTGAGCGAGCTGGCCGAGAGGTACGGCAAGGGGGACATCGACGACGATGGCATCGCGAAGGCGAAGGCCGACTTGCTCGAGCATGCCTGTAGGAAGCGCCCTGCCGCCGCTCCTGCAGGCTCGACAGGCCCCCATCAGGGAGGGCCAACACCTAAGAAGGGGCCCGCAGCGGCTCCAGCCACGCCGCCTCCCAAGGCACCTGCAGCGCCGCACGCGCCCCCTGCCTCTCCGTGCCTCCCTGCGCCACCTAGTGTTGGCAGCCGCTGGCTGGATTAAAGATCGAGCAGGGTCGTCGGCGAAAACCACCGACCCTCCGTCTCGCATCCTAGTCTTGATCCTCTTCTTCCACGTCCTCATCCTCCTCCTCCTCCTCCTCCAACTCCCCTCCTCCTCCTCCTCCTCCTCCTCCTCATCCTCCTCCTCCTCCTCCTCCTCCTCGAGCCACCTCCACCTGATTCGCAGTTCATGCGGTCCTCCCCCTACTTCCTCCTCAATCTTGATAGGCGCTACGGCGCATCCTACATCGAAACGAGGTCCGCAGTGTCGCAGGCCCAAGTCCATCTCGACATATGCTTAGGGACGAGATCCGTAAACTCGAAGCCAGGTTCCCAGGTCTGATGGCGCCGCCTGCAGGAGGTGCGCGTGCTGTCGTGAGGCCATCTGCTGGAGTCGAACCAGGCGCAGTGCCAGCCCATCGACGTCGACAGCGCCAGCAGCCAGAACGCGAGCCCGACAGACCTCGAGGCGGCAACCCAGGCGCCGAGCTCGCAGGGCAAGCTCGCGCCCGACAAGGCCCCAACAAAAGACGCGGGGGGTGATCCACCCCCACCTAGAGGATATACTCATGGGAGAATGCGTCCGATATGTGGGGCGTGATTTCGGATGTGCCAACCTTGATCGAACAGTTGCATTGTTTCCTGGTTAGGGCTGGGCTTCGGAGCTGGATAATGTGAGCGTCGAGGTTCGAGTCCAATGTAGCCATCGTCACCCGCCCAAGTCCCAAGATCCTGTCCCTCGGTTGTTTGTTTTTCCGCTGCCCCGGTCCAGCAGGGCGGCGCGCTCGCGCCCGTGGAGCCGCCCGCCGCGCACTTCGAGGACCGCGGCGGGAGCGCGCAGCCGCCGTACGAGGGGACGCCAGCGGAGCTGGATTCCGACGAGGAAGCTCTCGCTGCCAAGGCCGTGAAGGCCGTGAGGGACGCCGAGGAGGCCGAGGCCGTGGCCGAGGTGGTGGCGTTCGAGAAGAAGCAGACTTCGAGCGGCTCTGGAGCAGTCAAGGCTGTCGCCCAACGCGCTGCCGATCTGCCTGGCGACGCCGACGCAGGAGCTGGCGCTTCAGGAGACTGCGGGGGCTCCATGAACGTCGACGACGGCAAGGGGCAGGACTACGTGCTGCAGTCGGATGAGACCGACGGGATGCTCGAGCTCTTCCAGAAGGAGTTGGACAGGGCGCCCGCGGCTGGCCAGCTGGCGGGGGCGGTGGACTCCGAGAAGGCATACCATCCTGCTCATCCTTCTCCTCCTCCTCGCTCCTGGGTCTCCTACCCTTGCTGCAGGCACTCATGGAGGCGTTCCTGGCGGCCAAGGAGACGTGGGGCGAGAATGTCGAGACCTGGAACACTGGCAGCGACAAGGCGCCGTACGACGCGGTGCTGGAGCAGTGCGCCAACTCGGGCTTCGTCTTCAACAAGAGGTCGGCCATGGGAAGCCGTTTCGGCCTCTTCATCATGTCGCACTGGTCCGAGGAGAAGCGCCAGGCGTACAAGGACGCTGGCCCCGCGGACAAGGTGAAGTTCAGGCAAGATTGGGCCGCTGAGAGGTACGCCGAGTACGAGAAGACCCGCAAGTTCGTCCAGTCGAGGTCGGAGGTCGACAGCACGATCGGCACCCTCCTCAACTTGGACGCGCTCGTAGTTGCAGAAGGAGGGCATGATCGCCCTGCGGTGGTGCAGGGCGCGATCAACATTGCGCTGTCTTGCATCAAGAAGGGCCCCCCCTTCGCCGAGCTCAACTCGGACAGCGGCCGACTCGAGTTCAGGCACAGGGTCAAGCAGAGCAGGCTCGACTTCACCAAGAAGTGGGAGACGGAGGAGCTCGAGCGCGGCGACCCGAAGAAGGCTAAGATCGAGGCTGGCGTGGCGACGGGCGCTGCATCATCGGGCGCTGCATCGTCGGGAGCTGCATCATCGGGAGCTGCATCATCGGGCGCGGCATCATCGGGCGCAACGCCAGGTGCGGCGGATGCCGCGATCACGCCACCGTCCAAGGCCGCTGCAGTCGCCAAGGATTCGCCCGACAAGACGGGGAAGGCCACGCCTGGCAAGGGCAAGGGCAAGCAGGGCAAGAACAAGAAGGGCAAGACCAAGGAGATGAGCGACAAGGCCAAGCGCAAGACGATGCAGGTCACCAAGAACATGTACTCGAACTGCACCCTGCAAGCCAAGCCCAGGGCTTAGAGCGCCCAGAGCCATCCCTCTTCGACCTCTTCAATCATCCATCCTCCTCAACTTCTCCATCCTCCGCAATCCTCGCAGCTCTCTTTGAAGATCCGTGATCACCGCCGCTCTCCCTGTAGGACCTGACGTCGCCCGATCCTCATCGATATCCAACGCATCATCTTGAGCGGTCTCCTCTCGAGATTATGCCACGATCATCGGGAGATGCTGATCGTGGTTCGAACGAAGATTCGAGTATCCTCGCGGATCCTGGAATCCACGTTCGAACCACGATCATTGGTTCTGACGCGCTCAGGTCCATCGTTGCAAAGATCGAGACGGCGGAGGACTGGTCGTTCGCGAAGCAGTTCCTGCCCTCCCTGCAGAAGTTGCTCGTGAAGGTTGAGGAGAACTCTGTGGGAGATCCTGTATTCCAGGAGCTCCTCTTGGGCGATGTAGAGAGCTACTCGGTGTCGGACTGCTACGATGCCTGCAACAACCAGATGGAGGACCTCACGAAGCTCGCGAACAAGGCGAAGAGCATCACCAAGATGAAGGAGCTCGTGCCCGTGGAGAACGACGACTAGGCCAGCGACGCACGGCCTGCTGCAGACGAGGCTGGCGGGGACAGCTGGCCTAGGCTGTGCAGGCCTTCATTTTGCATCAGCCCATGACTCGTGGTTTGGTTTAAGCACGTTTAAGCTGTTTTGAGTCGAGAGGCGTCTCTCGACGGAGCTGTGAGCTGGGTTGCAGCTCTGTTGAAGATAACCGTGCTCCTCCCTCCCCTCCCCCATCCTTGATCAACCTCTTTCCACGGCTTCCGATGCCTGATCAAGCGGAAAGTAGCCCGTCGACCCCCCGCGGCCCGCCAGCGACTCGCCAAAATATTGATCGGCCTCCAGCGAGCCCACAGTGAGAGTCCAACGAGCCCTCGGTGAGCCTTCAAAGAGCTCCGAATAGCAGCAAGCAGGCCCAATGAGCCCCCAGTGAGCCCCCAGTGAGCCCCCAGTGAGCCCCCAGTGATCCTCCAGTGATCCTCCAGTGAGCCCCCAGTGATCCCCCAGTGACTCCCCCAAAAAACCCTTTAAAAACACACATAAAGTGACCGGTGACCCCCGGTGACCCTCCGGTGATCCTCCGGCGATCCTCCGGCGATCCTCCGGTGATCCTAGACCCAGGCGCCCAGACGCCCCATCGAGGAGCGAGAGAACTCATCAGAAACCATGATCTGTGAGAATAATTTGGCCCAAGTTGTTTTTCCACCAGACATGCCAGCGAAGCGTAAGCTCGCATCCGATCCAGACCGCCCCGTGCGCCGACACAGCTGGGAGTCAGCTGCGAGCGCCGCGGCGGTGAGCTCGGCCAGCTGGGAGGGGCCAGACGTCGGCGTCAGATCGAGGCAAGAGGACGCTGGCAACAAACTTGCAGACCTATTACTTGTCAAATATGCACACGGAAAGATTTCTGCTAAAGATCTGTGCACAGTCTGCAAGTTGGCCGCCGATGCTGGCGCCCAGGGGAGTCGATTGCGAAGCCTCGGGTACATTTCACACACGAACGATGGAAATTTCGAGCGCCACCTGGAGGCATTGCTGCCAGAGTCTTCGACAGCACTGATCTGCGATGTGCCCGTCCCGATGTGGATTCGCGGTCGGCGCGAGGACTCCATGCATGATCAATCCTCGCGGGGAACCTTTGCGGGCCTCGCTCTTTGCCACCCCCTCCCCCCCGAGGCCCAAGTACTCGAGGGGCTCGGGGATCGCGCAAATAATGGGGCGCGCAGATGGGTTCTCGCGCGCGTTTGTTCGACCCCCTCCCCCACCCTCGAACCTGCTCAGTGCCCCGAGGACAAATATTTGAAGCTGGCTGCATTTCACGAGTGTTTGGCTACGGAGTATGAGGCGGGAGCCCAGGGAATGATCGATTCATTTCGTGGACAGGAGTGGCCCGCCACCTTCCACAACCACCCCCATAGAACTAAACCTCATGATGATCGACATTGCTTCCCCCTGGGGCTCTACATAGACGGCGTGCGCTTTACAAAGGCTATAGGGGCTGGGAAGTACGACTCTTTGTACAATATCACCATGCACAACCTGGCATCAGGGAAACGTCATTTAGTTGGGGTTGTATCAAAACGGGAAATCTGCAAATGCGGATGCCGAGGGTGGTGTAGCTTGTACGTGGTTTTCAAGTTCATTACGTGGGCCCTGATCAACCTAGCAAACGGCACCAGACCTAAGACAAAATGGGATGGGTCCGAGTTTGCCCCCGAAGATCCTCTACGCGAGCTGCGCTCACGTTCGGCGCGGCTCCCAGCGCGTTTCATTATGGTTGATATCAGAGGGGGCTGGTCTGAACATTGCACTACTTTTGGCATGCCGACGCGGTCGGCGCACTTCCATCCGCGCTTGTTCTGCCGAGCAACTAAGCCCCAACTATCCGAGCGCCTGGGCGGCGAAACCGCGTGCACATGTGCCTGTTCCCTGCCCCTCCCGCTCCCCCTTCCTGCCCGCCTCTCGCCCCTGCCCCGCCCACTCCCTCCTGCCTCACCTCGGGCGAATATAACGGGCGATATGGGCTTCGGAATGGGAGAGGGAGGATCGAGGATCAAGTGGTTCTCCGTTGGGAATTGCCAAGTCTCCCTTCTTTTGAGGGGTGCGGTTTCGATCTCTCGGACGTGTCGTTGCTCGGCCACAACTGGGGTGATCTGCCAGGGGATTCGTACGAGATCGACTGTAGGAAATGTGAGTTTCGGATCGTGGTGCATACCCCTGCTATCAAGAACATGATTCTCGTCGACGGGAGGCTCCGTTTTGATAGGCAGAAAGAAGTTGAATGGTCGGATACTCACACAGAATGTGCCTCATTTGCAGCTGAAGAAAGGCGACAGGTTGGACCCAAGCGAAGGCTTGCGGGACGTCGCCAAGTTTGAAGAGACCCCTTTGCCGTTTGAAGCAGTCTTCTGGCGGAAACACAAGATTGGACAGCGGTTGAACGATAGGGTGCTTCGAAGAAATCCAGTGTTTTGTCCTGAGGTGGGGTGCGCACCGCAGTCTGCGATCATAGTGGACACCCTTCACACTGTTTACCTCGGGGTGATTGCACAATATGTGTTGCGAGTTATTTGGGCAGCCATCGATTGTAATGTGTACGAATTTGACGGGGGTGTTGCAGCTCAGATTTCGTCTTCGACATCGAGGGTCTACGCAGATATACGCCAATGGTACATTAGTCACAGCATTGAACATAGCGATCGGATTTCCACCCTACAGGGCTTGATTGGGTCATCAAAAAAAGGACCTCAAAACCAAAGCGCACGAGACGGGTGTTCTTCTAGACTGGGCCCTCGATTTCTCCCAGTGGCACGAACAAGTGTTATACAGCGGCAGTTTTCTGAAGGTGGCGGGTGAAACCCGAGTGGGGTACATGAGGCTGATCAGAACTAGTCCGAAAGATGTTCCGCTACCTGTCTGCCAAACATTGCTAGACCTGTGTTTGAGGCACATCTCGGTGGCAAAAACATCCCGTGTTCACCTGGTCCCTAAGCACCATATGTGGATCCATCTGACAGTTGGAATACGGCTGACTGGCAACCCGCGGTGGTTTAGTTGCTTCGCAGATGAGTCTTTAAACGCTGTGATCGCAACAATTGCCCAAACGTGCCACAGGGCCCACTGGGAGGCAAAGGTTTTCCAGAAAGTGCGCCTGTTGCCAATGGTAGAGAAGAATTCGGTGTTCGCTGATATATGACACTGTGACGCTTGAGTTGGGGGCGCACATAAAGTGAGGGGGCTAAATGGGGCTAAAGGGGCGATGAGGAAGGGACAAGATGGACCTGGCAAACTAATTACCCCCATAAGCCACGAGGATAATGGTGGAAGGAGGAGCTAAGGGCACGGATGGGAGGAAAGGAGGAGGAGGGGGAGGAGGAGGAGGAGGAGGAGGGAAGGTGTTGGAAGGCCCTCATCATAGGGATCCCCGAAGGCCCTCATCATATCGTCACCTCGTGGCGATCGCCGCCGATGCTCCGCCTGTTTTTTTGCGCTCGAGCCAGCCTGTTTTTTTTTTTTCCCGTGGACCATGGGTCGCGCCCAGACAAAGCGCCCAAGGGGCGCCATTACTGAGCGAGACTGCACATGGGCACAGTTGTGTGCAGAGATTCTCATCGATGGGGTGGACAGGGAACTCACGCTTCTTTGCCTTTGCAGTGGGATTAATACTCCTGTGGTCGCCCTGAGGGCCACCGGCATGAAAGTGAATGCGATTTCGTACGATTCCGATAAGAAGCTCCAGGCGTACTCTGAGAAAGTACACGGTGATGAGGGCTCGTGCGCGCACATTGGGGAGGCGGGTGACATCACCAAAATCAGCCCAGACACATTTCCAGAGGTTGACGGCCTTGTGATCGGGCCGCCATTGTGGAACAGATCATCAGGCACGGGGCAAGGGTGGCAGGATGCGAGGGCTGAGCCGTTCATGCAAGTGCTCTTGGCAATTAGATCTCAGGCAGTTCGCTCGAGTAGATTCGCTTTTTTTGTTATCGAGACTCTAACGCGCATGAAGGATAGTCCTCCAGGGCGACGGGGTTCGAAGGCGCCAGCCACAGAGGTCAAAGAGTGGCTGGTCGAGGGGCTGGGCATCGAGTGGTCGTTGCATGTCTGGGCGGTTGACGCTCTCAACCACGGCTTGGCGCAGCGCAGGGGGAGGACTTTTGGGGTGGGTTTCGCCTGCCGCAAATTTTTAGGATCCTCGAGGCTCATCCATGCCCCCCTGCCCCTAGCCCTGGCCCTAGCCCTAGCCCTCCCCCTCCTCCTCCCCCTCCCCCTCCTCCTCCATCT